TCAAATCATCAATCCTTGAAAGTGGACACTTATTCTTGATAGTCACCTTGTTCAATTGTCTATAATCCACACAAGCCTCACAAAACCTTCTTTCTTCTTAACTAACAAAATTGGTGCACCCCACGGTGACACACTCGGACAAAAGAACCTCTCCTCAAGCAGATCTTCAAGTTGATTCTTCAACTTCTTGGATTCCGGTGTGGATATACGATATGGAGTCATTGCTATCAAACTAGTTCTAGGAACTAGGTTGATCATAAACTCCACTTCACGTTCCGGCGGTAAATCACTTATCTCATCAGGAAAAACTTCCGGATAATCACAAATAATTGGCACCCCACCAACTTCCCCACTTTATTAACACTCAAAGTTTCCATCAAAATAAATATCTCAGCACCATCCTGCATCGACTCACCAAAACAATAAGTAAGCACTTAGCTTAACTCAAAACAATTCACTGCACACGCCATCTAAGCTTACAAGACACGTCTATCCCATCCAACATGACTCTATCTACTATCAACAAGAGATTAATGGTGATCAGCTCCTCAATTTGTCAATAGACAATCAAAAATCATGATGGGGCATAAACCATCTTTACTAAACTATAAGGGCGTTCATCGACACACTGAGCCACCACTCCACACTTGAAGCATCCTGGAGAAGCACAAGCTTCTCCCCCACTTGTTTCATTCCCACTTCTGCAGACAAAGGTTAGAAAACAAACGTGTACCGACAGTGTTTTCATACACATTTCGCATACTAGGGAACAAATAACATTAGACAACTTGGCCGGACGGGCCGACCTGCTTTGATACCACTAATGTAACACCATTTTCTACCCCAAATATATAATGGCCAATCATTCACATTTATCAAAGTAATATTTTAAACATAATGAAAATCACCTCACAAGGCGTACATTTCTCAATAATTCAAGTCAAAGTCAATGCTCCGTAAACAACGGGTTTTCCCAAAATTACTCAAAAATTGCTCAAATGGCAGCGGAACTCAAAAAGGCAAATCCAAAGTTTTCCTTGCACAGCAACATGATCAAAATAAAAAAACTCAATAAAATATGATTTAACTCAAAGACCCCAACCCGATGTTACACTACCAGAGCAAGACCCTCTAAGTCAACCAAAATGTCAAAAACTCCAAAAAGTCCTCGATGGCATCCACGGCTAAACCTGGTCATCTACATGTTACCCATGTGGAGGTAACATTCAAACAGACAGGGTGAGTAAAATGATTCATAATAATCGATATAGGAATCAATATATAAGATAGCGTTATTTTCGTATTCAACATCATCATAATCATCAAGGAAACATCAAAAAGTCATAATATCATAAATTACACCAAATTTTCACATAAATGTAAATGCAACAAGACTCATGCATGTGGTACCAATTCATCACAGTTCGACGGACATTGGGCCATCAACCCTCCATAAATTCCCATCAATAGAATCGATTATACACAAGAACCGGAGCACAAAAAAATACTTCACATCTGCACAATGGGACTGAAGCCACAAGAATTAAACACTAAACTGAAGTTCGGAATGCATATGAATGCATGATGCACACGTCAATATCATCATCATAATAAAATCATTAGGTGCATCATCATTCATCAAAATCATCACAATAATCATGTCATCATAAAATCACCAAAGCCTCATGAAATGAACATCATAAATCATCACAATTACTCATGGGAATTCATTATACAGTCATGTATTATTCTCATAAAATTCACAATTATACTCACGGTAATTCATCAGGAAAATCACAGCATCAAAACATCAAGACAACATTGAACAAGAAACAATTCGCGAAACGCTGCTACGTTCGCTGCGATGCTCGCTTTGCGAGTCTGGGGAGAATGTTCGCTTTGTGAAGGATTATTCGCTTTGCGAACTCACGATTACAGAAAATCGCTGCTATGCAACAGTAGCAAAATCAGGCCAAAAGTCTATACGAATTCCTTCCCTAATGCCCCAAAAACATTCCTAAGGTATTACGGCGATAAAGGCACAAAATCTACGACTTATTAGGCCAATCCCGTATCATATTTATGCCTCCAATTCCCATAAAATCCTTACAATTTTCCCACATTCATTAGAGTTCTCATAATCAATTACCATATACGATTAAAACCTCAACAACAGATTTTGGCCACGAAGGCCTAATTTTCCTTACTCCCAAATCAGCCTCAAACCTATCAGACCATTAGTTCAAATCCCTCAAACTCATTAAACTCACCAGAAAGGCAACAACAATTCAATACTCAAAATCCCTAAACCCTTAAATCGGCTTTAAACACATTGAATCACATAAATTCCCATAAATTCTCATAAATTCTTACAAATACCCCAAGGTCATCATAGTTCTCACAATCACTTACCCTACAGGGTTAAACAACCTCAAAAACAAATTTGACCACAAATGCCTAATTTTCTCAAACTCAAAAATCTCCTAAATCTTTAAATCGACTTTAAATACATTGAATCATATATTGAAAACAATGAAGGTAATACTCCACATACTTAAACAACTTCAAATGCAGATTTGGCCTAATTTCCTCAAACTCAACCTCCTAAATCCTTAAATCAGTTTTAAATACATTGAATCATATATTGAAAACAATGAATGTAATACTCCTCATACCTTAATTTGTCGATTCCAAACCTTTCTCCTTTGAATTCTTGGAAACCTCACGAAATCTTGCCTCTATCCTCTTCCCTCATAGCTCTGGTCTCTTTTTCTTCTCTTTTCACGGGCTAACAAGAATGAATCCTAATTCCCTCAAAATTCCTTTTTGTTAAACCTAACTTTGGATCTTTAAAATGGGCTTTCCAATTTCACCCTCACTAACTCCTCCTCAAATGTCCACTTTGGCCTTAAATTAACTTATATTTATTTAAATTAATAATAATACCAAATATATTCATATTATATACTATTATTTAAATAAATAACTCAAAACTCCATAATTCCCAATATTCACACCAACCATCGAAAATTACCAAAAATACAAATATTTATATTTAAATAAATTTAATAAATATTTCAATAATTTGGGGTGTTACACACGGTACTGCAAAAAAAATACATCGTTGTCAGAAAGTTCAAATAACATAACACATATGTTTCAAAGAATAACCACAAATTTATTTTACCTTTCCATCCCACACGTGTTAAACAACATGGTTTGCATACATAGGTAGTAGTGAAGTGTCGTAGGGGCCTCCTCCGAAAACTTCAGGAACGTCATCATCATCAGATACATCAACATCGATTGGCAGGGCTTCTAGGGTAGTAGCATATGACACATGCCTCCGAGAAGATGAAGCCGAAAACATTTGAACTCCAGAAGACGACACTTTCGCATTAAATGAATTGTCATCAACTGGTAGTCACGAGGGTCTAGCTTTTTTCCTATGAATATACGCATGCTGGGACACTCTACAGTGCCACAATCAATCTTGGTTGTCAGCCATTTTATTTATAATTAAACCAAATGAGAGACATGCAAAATCAAACAATGCATACATAATATAAAAGTGCACTTCAATTAATTAGAAAAATTAAATTCAGATAAAATAAGGAAGTTCACTTTCGTATTTTCCTAAAACACAGAAACGTTAGAAAACACATAAATGCGTCATTCTCTATGCTATAAATGTTAATACATATCTCAATAAACTACGTATTATGAATGTAATTACAACCTAATGCAACTTAAACGATTTATTTAGTTATGCATGCATCACAAATATATATATAAAAAGAGGAAAATAAAAAAATTTACCAAATATGAAAAATGGAAGCTCTTGGAATGAATGAACTTGAGTAGTGTTGATAAAACTCTTAGACTAAGCGCAATGCAGTAGAAAGTTTGAAAAATATTAAAAAATGAAGAATTTAAAATTTCTCACGCACGTCTTTTTCCTTATTTAGAGGAAGTTCTGTTGAAAACAATGAATAGAAAAGATCTGACCCAATAATGTCACTTAAAACGTGTCCGAAAATATACTTCTGTAAATTTTAAAAAGATGCATGTTTGTAATAATTTATGACAAAATGACAGTGACTCAATTACAAAATAGCAAAATACTGTGGTATGGATTTTGGTGCGTCTGCCATACCTTTAAGGATACATTGTGTTTTCAGCCCTAAAATTAACATGGTTTAATCCCTGTTTTCTTTTCTTTTCTTTATTTGTAACTATTTAAGGATACATTGTGTTTTTTCTTTTAAAATTTTAAATTCATCCTTATGATATCACATTCCTTTCCTTTTAATCCTCCATGGAATTTGATAAAATGCTGATTTGGACTAATGCGAAAAAAAAAAAAAGTTTAGTTGGTCATATTTTAGTGATGTAGCATTTTTATAGTTTATGTGTCATTAATAATGATTGAAAAATAAAGTTATTAGATTCATCCCTTTATTATTATTCCATAAAATTTAACATTCATCTTTTGAAGCCATAAACCTACAAAAACTCCTAAGATCTGTTTTCTAACAGAGACTATATCATAATAATGGAATACGGATCCACTCCTGCCTTTCCTGTCATGCTGCCTACACACATGAATTCCTCAGTTTTGTCGGTCACTCTATCGCCAATAGCATACAACCATCACCAGCAACATGAAGCATCACCATCACTATCACTAGCAAAACAAAAACTGAGTGGCGATGGAAGAAAAGAAAAATGGTATGTTGCTGCTAGGTGTTTTTGGTGGTAGGCTTATCAACTAAACAATTGAAAGAGTGTAACATTACAAATTGTACTGTACCCTCTATATCACATCACATATATGGGATGGGATTCTTTAAAACGCTAATTAATTACAACATAATTATTTATCTCAATGAGTCAATCCCAAGATGAGACAAGACTGGTGTTAATCATGAATCACCATACTATACAAATCATACAGTGTGGATGAAGCATGACTCTACTTCAGTGCAGCATCACAAACTTTATTTTCGAGATCCAAAAACCAAGTCACCTAAAGAAGCCAAAGGTGAACTGTGACCATGCACTACACTGTCTCTCCAGAAAGCCATTCCTATAGCAATTTCATAAAAATGTTATTAATAATGCCATTTCTGCATTACTTCATTTAACAGAAACATCACTTGTGCAATTTTGTATAGTGTCTATTAGAATTTGAGTTTCACATAACTCTATCGCAGAGGCGGCAATTGTTGAACACTTATAATTAGGTCAGCTAATAATTTGGACAACTATATTTTCAACAGAAATACGTGTTTCATGAATAAATTAGGAAATATGGTTGTTCGAGAGGATATAACCTATCCATGAAACCAGACCGGCAGTTGCTGCCAAGAAGAATTCCTTGCTGATAATGTTTAAACTGGAACAAAAAAACAACATCGCTTTAGAGATGATTCTAAATTTTGCTCAAGAGAGCACCATAACAGAATTGCAGACGAAAACTTGACTTATATTAACTTACAGGAATAGGCACGCAAGATTCCCATATCCATAGAATAAGGTAGCCCATGTTGAACCAGTAAACCTTCAATCATAGTTGAATCGGTAAAATGTCAGAAACAATTTCACAAGATTGCAGCACAGCATTTAATCAACAAAAAACACGGGTATATACATTAGTGGTATGCAATAAATCAATTATCACTAGAGTCAAAGCAAATAAAACAATATTTATTTTTAAAAACATATGCTAGGCGTAATTATTTAAATTGAACCACCACCCACCATGAAAGTTTAAGTAACACTTCATTTTCTACATACTATCAAAAGTGTTTTCAGTACTGCCAATAAGTTTGGATAATATCTTAAATTGTGAAAATAGTTCTCCACTAGAATGCTTGCAGAATATTTAAAATAGTTTTAACAATATTTGCTAATGGTTCAACATGTTGCGGGGTGTAAGTAACTCAGTAAATTTTCATGCAGATGGCAGAAACAACAACCTGAGTGAATAATATGTCGGATGGAATCACAATCACAACAGCCAAGTGCTATACTACAACTCTGCTTTGTGATTTATAAAAATTTGGTATTGCCGTATTTTTTTTATCAATGATATATTAGTTAATATAAGAAAGTGAATTTACCACATGAAATCACGAATGAATAGAGCACGTGGAAGCATGAGTCCATTTCCAAGCATCGCAAGCAACATAGAAAAAGCAGACAAGCCTTTCATGTTCTCAGGATTGAGAAAATTTGTCCACTAGAGAAGAGAAAAACGTGCATAAGGAAAGTGCATAGGGGATAAAAGATGAAGTGCACAGCTGTTAATGCAACAGAAATTGTCATCATATATGAAGTTTACCATCTGGGAAACTGGCATCCACATGAAGAGTAACGTAGCTGTCCAACCAGATATTCCACCAACAAATTTAACACCTTCCTCCGAAAGTTTTCCACTTCTTGCCTGTAAATAAATGAATGTGAAAACCTATTTCCCTGCTTCAATTCCATCTGACCCAATCTAGAAACAAGACATGAAATTCAAAATTTCTTTGTTTTGGTTATCAAATACACATTAAGAAAATAAGAAGATTACCATGGTAACAGCGAAGACAGCAATCACAAAGGAAAGTGCCCCAGGCAAGATGCTGTTAGGTAGATAGGGGACAAATGTAGACCACATTATCTGTATCCATGGGTGAGTAGAAATTGATAAAAAGGTCTATTTCTATTAATAATAATGTAAGGTGGGAGAAAGGAAACAGTATTACTTGAGGAAGGACCGATAAACCTCCAATTGTAATGAAATCTTCCCAAAAGCGCCAGATCGGAGCATTTAGTAAGCCAAAGTAATTCATGAAATTGAGAAAAAGACCGGACACTACAACTAGTGATGTTGCTAAGAAGTAAGTAAAAGGCATGGATTGGGCTAATGCAAGCTGAAGAATGACGACATATGTTGAAAGTACCCCAAGTGTCTGCACTAGCATTGCTTCCTTTTCTCTTTTCTTGGCAAAGTATGAAAGTAGTGAGAGGTTTCCAAGCAAACTAGTAAGCATTCCCTGCATTGATAATCATGGCAGTAATAGGTATGAAAACACAGTTTAACAGAGAGTCTAGCTAGATAGGAAATATTCAACATTCTAACATAGTAATAACGTATAGGTCATTAACAAAATTAAAAAATATGGTAAATAAGAAAGTAATAATAAGCGGAAGAAGCAATTGTAGAAAGGATGGAGAAATAGAGTGAATTACGTACTAGCCATGGGATAGCAAAGAGAGCACTACTATTTGCGGACATAAGATTTCTAGCATTGAGTAAAATCTGTGGCATTTGCAGTAAGAGGAATGGAAAATTGGCTGCTCCAGAGAGTTTGGATGTAAGCGAATCCCATTGCTCGTAGATTTCATTTCTTCTTCCAAAGTTAACTGATCTCTTGAAAATGAATTTAAAGAAAATGTCAGGTGAATCGAATGATGGTGATGATAAATTGATGATAAAGGAAATGAAAAATGGAAGAGGTAGAAGTTAGGTTAGGTAGGTACCTGGTGAGGTGGATCGGAATGAAGAGCATTGAGAGTGAAATAGGGTCGGCGGGGTTGGGGGAAAGCAAATAGACGGTATTGGGTGGAAAGAAAACAGAGATTATGACGTGGGCGAGGGCGAGGTGAAGAAGTTAGATATTTGTGTTGTTGGTGTTGACATAGGTGTTGAATTTGAAGATGAGAAGGAGAAACATAAAAAGTGTTGGCCATGAGTGCCTTATTAATTGCATTCAACAAATGATGTTGTTGTTCTTCTTGTTAACTTGTTATTTTGGGAGTGAGTGTGACTCTTATGACTGTGTATTGTTGGGAATCAGATTGGGCGGTGATGCAAGTGGATTCACTCTTCATATATATGTATATATTATACCGCTCCATTACCTCGTGAATGCTACCACAGGCACCGTCTGATTCACGCACTAGTTTTGCTTTTTCAAAATGTTATTTTCTACCAACACAAGTAATATATGGTTAAAGTAGTCTTCAACTTTTGCGTTTCACTAATCAACTCATCAATATAACAACATCAACTTGGTATGCAATAATATAGGTTTAAACATTCAACATATTCATGAGAATTAAAGTATGTAGGGTTTTGGTTTCCTCTAGGTACTAATCTTTAAGGAAACAAGTTCTTAAAAGGTTCTTTGGACTCCCGACGGATGTGAGGGGTACTAATCCAGCAGAGACGCCAGCTGTCTCTACGCGAAAAATACAGAGTCGCTACCGAACTATTTATTACAAAGGAAAGGGAAAATATCAATAAAATCTCAGAAGAAAAAGATGATGGTCGTCACAACCAAGAGCGGATTCGGAAGTCAGTTATGCAAGAGGAAAGTTGATCGGTCACCATTTTTTACTATGTTTCTGTCACTTGTTAGGCATTAATCCATGTAATCGGTAATACTTTCCTTAGTCTTTTTACTGCTTTTCAAGTTAATTTTACTTTTCACAAAGTTATTTTCGCATTTCGGTATTTTAAGTTTATCTCATTCTGCATTTTGCGCTTTGATTTGTTGGTTTTGAGTGTTTCCAGGTTCAGGTAACAAGACCCCAAAAGACTCGGCGAAAGAAAATGAAAATCTGAGATTTCAAAATTCAAAATTTGGAGTTACAGGAGGTTTATCACAGCCACCCGTGTTATCTGGCACATGCCGTGTTAGGAGGAGGAGCCGTGTCAAGAAAAAGAAGAAGAAAGTGTGGATCCAGGGGGCTGGCACAGCCGCTCGTGTCAGCTGACACAACCCGTGTCAGCATGTCTGGAGCAAAAAATTTGTTTGTGTGGATTCAGGGGGCCAACACGGCCACTCGTGTCAGCTGACACGGGCCGTGTTGGCTAAGACGCTGATTTTCCCTGATTTTTGAGTTTTTACTGTGAACTTGACATGCGAGGGCATTCTGGACATTTTCAACCAAGGATATTGTGTTTTGACTATTTAAAGGAGTTTTACGAGAAAGAAAGGGACTTTTGGACGAGAGAGCAAATTTACGATCAAGATTGAAGCGATCAAGAGAATTGGAGAACAAAGATTTTCATGCACATGAGCGATTGAAGATCAAAGGAATCTAAATTTCTTGTAATGTTGAATCTTATTATTGTTTTGTCTTTGAATACTATGAGTAGCTAAACCCCCCAATGTCAAGGGGTGTCCCTGAATTGACTATGTAATGACCTTGATTTCCTTTGTTCAGTAATTTAAGTACTTTTTCATAATCATTTTTATCGTACAATGTTTTTAACGCTTTTTCTATCGGACAAATAGGAATTGATTTACAGTTAACTTTTAGGTCAGACAAACCATTGTTAACGCTTTTTGTGTGATAATATTATAGTAGATATCACCTAGGACTAGGGATACCCTGTAGTATCCGTAACATTCTTGATAAAACTAAATGCTTGATTTCATCCTAAATCTCTAAGGACTTAAGGTTTATGATGAATATCAAAGGTTTTTCTTCCTAAGGCATTAGGGAAAAATTAACTTGAGAATCGATAAATGTTTGTTTTAAGCCATGTCTCGGAAATAAGGATTAAGGTTGTTACAAGGTAATTCACACACCTTGCCCTAGCATGCTTCTCATATCTGCTAAAGATCAATTTTATTATTTTGCTCTATTTTTTTACTGTTAGTTTATATTTGCAAACCCAATCCTAAACCCCCAAGTGCTTTTTGTTTAATTGAATTATTACTAAAACTCATATTCATATGTAGTCCTTGGGATCGATTTTGGGGATAAACCTCTATTTTAACTACATCAGCGAAAATGGTACACTTGTTATTTACCGATCAAGTTTTTGACGTCGTTGTCGGGGATTGCCAAAATATAGAGTTTTAATTTTAGTTCAGTTGAACTTTTATTGCTCTGCGACCAAAATTTTATTTTCTGTTATTTTTATAATTTTTTATTATTACTAATAATTGTTTAATCTGTGTATGTGAGGAAATCCATCAACTGACTTTCTTTTTAACGTAGAATCAGAAAAATAGTTGTACGCTAGACTCCGAAAAGCTAAACGAGAAAGACTGGCAGCGTCAGGTTCGGGACCGGTAATTTCAGAACAGGAAAAAGAGGAAGAAGTTTCCATCCATTAGTAGAATACTGACTTAGGCACCGATACAGACACAGAGACACACCCAAAGACTGCGATTATGGCTGAAAATCTATCAGTAGAGAGACTTCTGGGTGACTGTGGAGGAGAAAATGCTCCAGCAGGACGGTTGACCATAGTAAATCAACCGGTTAACGTTGCTAACTTTCAGTTGCACCTAACAACTATCCTTCAGCTCGAGAAAATATCTTTTACTTGGAAAATAAATGAAGATGCAAATAAGCATTTGCAAAGGTTTCTCACTATGAGCACGATGTTGAAGATTGATGGGCATTCTGAAAAAGCTAAAAAGTTGAGAATGTTTCTGTCGCTTCCGCGAAAATAAGGTGCCGGCAAAACAGAAGAGTCACCACCTTTCGTTATTTATCCCTCGGAACGGGAAAGGAAACGATCGGAAAAACCTGACGAATAGGTATAAGACAAGGTCATCGCAACCGTTGTCTGGGTTCGGGAGTCGGTTACGCAAGGGGAAGGTATTAGCACCCCTCACGTCCGTCGTACTCGAAGGATGTGAGGGGTGCTAATACCTTCCCCTTGCGTAACCGACTCCCGAACCCAGACAACGGTTGCGATGACCTTGTCTTATACCTATTCGTCAGGTTTTTCCGATCGTTTCCTTTCCCGTTCCGAGGGATAAATAACGAAAGGTGGCGACTCTTCTGTTTTGCCAACACCTTATTTTCGCGGAAGCGACAGCTGGCGACTCTGCTGGGGATTTTAAGAGTCATCTTAAACGAGCGTCTTCGTTGGAGAATTCAAGAATCATCTTGGGCAAACGACTTCTGATGGGGGATTCAAGACTCATCTTGAGCAAGCGACTCTGCGGAGGAACACCTGCAAAACAAGAACGGTAACGACCTAGCTCATGCTTAGTATGCATATGCTTTGACAATGGCGCAATGCTCCACACGGTGGAAATGCTATGCGTTTATGATAGATGCTATGCAATCATGCAAAATGTTGTGACCCTATCAACAAAATAAATGTTGAAGGGAGAATCCTCCTGTCAAGGAAAGAGGACCACTTTGGTGGAGAGGAGGAATCATCCTGCCGAGGAGAGGAAGTCACACCAATCTCAATTGGACTCCGCCTGGGGAAGCAAACTTCAGTCGACTGCTGCAGGGGAATAAAGTTCTACGAGAACCTGGACCTGCTGAGGAAAGCGATGTCAATCGCAGAAATAAACTGCGCGGCCCTCGCGGCTAACCTTCCTGGAGATAACGACTCCGGCGGGGAAATACGGCATCAGCTATTCAACACTCTACTGGGGGAAAACCAATCATGGTCCCAACGGCTTCCAAGGACTCGAATCTCTTGGGGATCTGCAAATTCGGCTGGGGAAGAAGGAATCATCCTGCTTGTAGGGGAGAGTACGACTCTGTGGGGAATCTTAATTCCGCTGGGAGACTTCAGTCTGGAATCATCAATTGCTGCACACTTCAGTGAATGACTCAGCTAGGGAGACGACATTCCCTCAAGATGCATCTAATTGGGGAGAGAATCTTCTCTGCCTGGGGAAACATATCAATGCTTACGGTCTCACGTTCAGACTCTATGGGGAGAGACTGTTGAACTTTGCTGGAGAAGGAGGAATCATCCTGCTTGGGGACGCGTACGGCGTATTGCCTGGAATATGCTACACCTGTAACAACACAAACAAACAGACAAGATACCCTTCTCAAAGGGACCTATCAAGGTTATCATCTTGTGACAATGTTTAAGTAATTCATTGTTTCAACAATCAGTGGCCTAGGCCAGTAAGTTTATGTATGCGCATTTTGTCAAAAACATCGGCGTTCTTTTTCGCAAACAAAACAGGTAAATGCTAAACAGACAAACATAATTGCTGAATAGTATACGTTTTATTGATAATGAACCCCTGAATGGGCAAAAATGTTTTACAACAGATGCAAGCTCTTGGAATGAGGAAGCCGCGCCAATATAAAAACATAAATATACATCAGTATATACAAATGTCGGCAACGAGGCGTAGACGAACACCATGAGTTGATCCCTCTATGACCCACTCGACTTCGATACTTCTCCGACGCTTCAGCTTCAGAAGAGATTGATTCAGATAAACGACCCTCAGGTCCTCCAAACCACTAAACAAATACAGTCCACATGCGGAACGCATTCATTTGCTTTTTTTAAATCCCTAACTTTTGCCTGAATCGCCCTTCCGGGTTTTCGATTCACCGGGATACCCTTTTTTGCCAAAGTCGCCCTTCCGGGTTTTCGACTTTGCGGGTGTACATTCTTTTCAATTTGTATCCCTAATTTTTGCCCGAACCTTTTTCTTTTTTATGGTTCGCCGGGATGCCCCATTTTGCCTGGATATTCTTTTTCTTTCCAGCGGATCATTCTTAAGCAAAGTATTTTTTAACTGCGTCCGCGTTCACCGGGGATGCAAAATCTTCGCCATCCATCGTGGATAACAACAAAGCTCCTCCCGAGAAGACCTTGCTGACGACGCACGGACCTTCGTAATTAGGAGTCCACTTGCCCCGGTGATCGGAGTGTGGAGGAAGAATCTTCTTCAGGACGAGATCACCCGTCTGAAAGCTTCTAGGACGCACCTTCTTATCATAAGCTTTCT